AAGAAATCTCGTTCCCTCGCTACTTGACTCCATATAACCCATAAAAACCCATAATTATTGCATTCTACTGAAATCATATGACAATGGAAGGAAACTCAAATTAGATATTTCAGAGAACTCACTTTTCCAGAGAAGTTAAGAGAAGCTTTTACATTTTTCTAAAAAAATTGTAAAAATCATTCTACTGTTGTTTCTAGAATATAAAAATAAATATTTTTTTAAAGCGAACACATTCTCATTTCCGTTAAGTTTATCGAGTAAGTAAATCATTTTATAAACGATATTCATTTCATATTAAAATTCAAATAAAGCTTGAAAAAATTACATCCAAAGATATATAAGAATTTGTTTGTTTTTAAGCACAGAGACACACATTGGGCAATTTGCATATTGCCCACCACATGGATTGAAGCCTGAATTTTAGCGTTATAAGCTATTTGGCTTACTGCTGACTCACTGGAGGCGATATATGAGAATAGGTAAACAAAGTATTACTTCTGTTCTAATTATTACGTTTCACTAACTTTTTACCACTACTTCTTGTGCTCTATTGTTCGTAATCATTAATAATTGTTTGGTAATGTAACGATTGAAATTACGTATGAATAAGCTAATGCTATTATTAAACATTGCAGATTTGACAAGAACAGAGTATTATCATTTATGATTCTGAATCGGAAACCGTGTGGCTTACTTGCGAGTAACATATAAAATAACTTTCATGATTAGACGTATTTCTTACTTACCTACAAGTAGAGTACGATACGCGTTAATACGCATGTAAGACAGGTAGTGTTTGTTATCCTGTCATTTTTGCTGTTAACTTTTCTAGATAATAATCAATGACATTTAATGTTGCATTTTTCTCTATTCCATTTCTCATTATAATTCTGCTCATAAACGGTAAAGCCCGTAGTTCTAATATAAAACGTATAATTGACCGAGCTTTGCCAAGCGATTTGAGTGTCGGTCTGCAGAACAGAAGGTTTAGATTTTAAACCGTAATGTATTCACTTAGAACGTTCAGTTTTTGTGACTTATAACTGTGACTTTCAGTTCTGATATTCGTTCTAGAGCGACCGCTTAGACGGAGGGCGCTGTTCATTGGTTGCCCCACCTTTGTTAAGAGGTTATAAATTATGGATGACTATTGCTGAGCCTTACGAGTCCCTAATCTGACCGTTTAGTTTATGTACCTCATAACTTGCCATTCAGGATGAAAATACCAATACTAATACCTACTGTTTAACAAAATTTAATAGCGATAACAATATCTATTGGTTAACCAAACCAATGCATACTACTTAATAAAACATAAAAACAATGCATACTACTTAATAAAACATAATAACAATGCATACTACTTAATAAAACCTAATAACAATGCATACTACTTAATAAAACCTAATAACAATGCATACTACTTAATAAAACCTAATAACAATACCTACTGCTTATTATACTCTAGATACTATAAAATAATTTTTATATTTTAACCAACGCTTCGCCTTTGTGGCTTCATAAGGCTTAATACACACAACTCGCTTATTAGAACTTACCAAGGTTTAACTAGCCATCGTTGTACTCGTTCATTGTGAACGTGTACTTTAGGTTTTCCAGAGTTAAATTATTAATTAGCTCGCATTGTTTAGAATTTGTATATCGTGTTATGAAACATAACATTTTATGTTCATTAACAGGAAATCGTACCCTGTCATGGGAGAGAACAATTCTGAACGTTAGTACAGTTGATGCACTGGAGAATTAGATGGGGAAATACGTTAATGTATTAGCAAAATTGATGAAACATAATTCAAATGTTGATGGACAGTGTTCTATTATGAACTATTGGGCTACTTTCTTTAACACTGACATGATGAGAATCGAACTTTGACACTGCAGTTCACAACTGTTCAAACATGCATATGACAAGGTTTTGTTGGTCGTTTTTTTTTTTTCTAAACCAAACCTTGGTACATAATATTTCGATAAACTATATCGTAGTTCATGTTAGATATTAAAATCCATATTCTTAAATTCACTGAAAATAAACACATCAAACGTAATTACTATATTGATAAAAGGTGTTTTTCTTCCTATTTAATATGAAGTGGATTGAAATGTAATGTTTTAGAAAAATTGTACTTCGTTTCTTTACTGATAGATGGTGCACCTACACAGATGATGTAACTCTATAGTATCATTTGCTAGTAGCAGATGGCAGGGTAATCGGATTAAAGTTGCAAATCCAAAAGACAATGTCCTCTAGCAAAAACTTTTACGATCAGATGTTTTATCGAAATGTATCTCATATGAAGAATATGACATGGGTCAAGTGTTTCTGTTTTAGAATTATCCCAAGTGTCCATCTCTATATTTAGCTTTTATTATCGTAACATATAAACTACATGCATCACCCAAGTGTTTACCTCTGTCACTAATTCTTATTATAACAATTTTTATTATTTTAACGGTGAACTACAAATACTGCCTTCTCACTGTTAATAATGCAGTAGAGAAATTTGTGTATGATAAAATTATATGCTCTACATTAGTCAATACTGTTGAAGCCATATTATTGAAACTATGGTTTCCATAAATATAAACTATTTTATTCATCTAAGTAATGACGTGTTTTTTTTTCTTCTACCTCTCAACTTGTACACTCTTTCATTTATGGTTGTTCCGCAAATGAACATGTATATTCTTCCTGTTTAGTTGTTTGTTATAAGTGATCAAAAACAAACCTTGGCGTTTCTTTGCAGCACACACACGAGTACTTCTGGTGAATTCGGATAGTATTCCATAAATAAAAACTAAATTAATAAATTTATTTTTCGTATCTCAAAATTAGTGTCTCAACTATGTGATTCTTATTAATTAGACAGAGATATTAATTACACACGAATGGAGTTTTAAATATCCTAACTTCGTCGTACGAGAGGCGAAATTTCAGTTGTTTTAATTCACTTTAACTTTTATTTTGCTTCTTGTGACAAAAATGTCACAAGGAATAAGAAGTTCTTTTTAATTCCCTAAATGTCAAAAACGCAAGTATACACTTATAGACATTTAAGCACACAAAATGTACATATTTATACATTATGAATGGATGTTGTTCTCGGCGGTGACAAGAGCGCAGAGAACAGTTGACCTTTGAAAGTAGCTCCAGGATCGTTAAGAATATCTTCCGGTGCTCCAAACCAAGCTATCCATAGCTCCGCCAACGAATCAGCTACTGACTGTGCCGATGTATCGACCAACAGATAAGCCTCAGCCTACTTCGCGTAGTTAATTCCTACAAGTACATACAGATAACTTCATCCATCTTCTAGGAATAAACCAGCAACGTCCAGAACTATTCTCTATACGGAAAAATCAACAAATCTCTGGTGGAGTTTACCCTGTTCTCTAGGTGGCACACTCCATAAAGTGTTGACATTGGCACTGAAAGTCTCAATTCAAATGCGTCCAGTAGAACTGTCATCAAATGTTAGCAAAATATATTGGTATCTTCCAATCCTTGTGTTATGAAAAATCTGGAGAAGCTCGTGATCCATAGTTGCAGCACAAGCTGAAAAGCAAAGCTCGATGGTTGGTAGTAATAGTACAGCACATCTTACTGTACTCGCAACTGCTCATACAAGTGCCATAAGTTACACGAGTTCGTGTCACATTCCTCAATCTGAGCTGGTTAGACTTCACAATACATGAGCAAAAGCTCCCATGTTAGATCTAGGTCCTTCAGTTGCTCTTTCTTGAGCTCCTGAAGACTTAATTGTGGCATTCATTCTATTGTATAGCTTGTCGTCCCTATGTCAAAAATGGTATCAACTCACACACAGTGTCCAGGTTCAGAACATTAGACAAATTGACAGTCTCACTGTACGTCCAGACAATCCATTGGCATTTCTGTGTTGTAGACCCAGATGATACCATATGATTACATCTTACTCTAACAGTTTGAACAGTCAGAGGTTCATGTTTAGTTCATTTCCATTTACCAGAACGAAGTTGTTTGGGTTGACCGACCTAAGTGATCTACCAGTTCTTTGGCTGATACCATATCAACGAAACTCTATGTATCGCCCTTGTATTATGGCAGACAATAATAAGATCCACCCAGCTTTGAGAGACCTGGTCTGATCACCAAACCATTCAATATAAGGCCATTTGTTATACTCCCTCAAGTGACCAGGCTTGATTTGAATTCTATTAGTTTTCTGTAGTTGTAGCAGCAGTGTTCACCGCTCTTTGTTAGCATGCCTTAACCCGCTGAGCCATTAGTTGAAACCATTAATTAACCTTATCTACCTTGATGTTTGGCAAAGTATTGGTAGTTCATTTAAAAATTACACAATGTCCCACATCTAAATCATATGCTTTGGACTTACCTTTCAGAATGACACCCAAACAAAGACATCATTGGCATAGGTTGCAGCATAAAAACCATGGAAGGACAGGGATAGGCACTGGGTGCAAGAATGATTGCATCGCAGGGCATTGATTTGATCACACTGTCATGGTGGACAGTGGTGTTCTAGGTGTTGTGATTCCCATTAGGCTGTATCCTGTAAAAAGAACTTTCCCAACTGTAGGGATGCTCATTCTGCATACTTTTGCAGAATGTCTAGTTCGTCTCAAAGAAAAGTTGAAAGTATTTAGGAAATTGCTTCTTTTAGGTAGGCTGAAATTTAATCATTCTTCCTCTCAACTGTTATTTTCTCAGACGTTGAGAAACACACTTTCAGTCACTCTGGAAGCACATCCAAAGGAAACTTCTCAATTCAGTTAGTGTCTTTATTGCTGTCCAAACACAGTTGATGGACAGGTCTGCAGAGATCTACCTTCATTTCAGTTGAATTATGTTTTCTTGATAGCTTAAGTATTAAAAGGTTGTTTCAAGTTATTGAAACTCTGCAAGAATTTGTTTCACTGCAAAAACAACTGACAAGCATTTTCTTTATAAAACTTTCACCTTCAGGTTCTTCATAATGTCTTCAAGCCCTTGTGATTATCTTCTGCCATGGAATGAAGAGCTAATGGCTAATGATGAGGAGCCTTAACTGTATGTATATATATTAGTGCTCCTCACATTATTACCATTTATAAAACTTTGGTCAATCCTCATACTATTTATTGAATCATTTACAACTTCGAATTTGTCATTTAATCTACAATTTCAAATTCAGCTTAATGTTTAAATCCATGTGTTTTTAATTTATCAAATGCAGACATATCAGTTTCATAGTTTAATTGCCAGAACAAGGTACAAGTTATTTTTTAAACTTACATAACCAACTCTATAACAGTATAAAACTCTATGATAAATATTGAAAAAATATCTTTAGAAAAATATAGTGCTCATGCATATGAACCTAAACTAAGTAAACGTTTTGTCTCTGACTAACTTACAGAAAGAAAGAAAAAATACCATACATAGTTATTTCTCTGATACAATGATGGTGAAATAAATGTTTAAACATGTGATATCATAAAATATAAGTATGAGGATAACATGCTAACATTTAGACATTTTACTCCAACTGCATAAAGTGTTTTTGAAGAGTAAATATATCACTTACAGAAGCAGCCAGCCCAAGCATCAATTTTCATGCATATAAAATGTTGTAAGAAAATGAAAATTAAGTAAAACATTTTCATCATTTTTGTAGAAATTGATTAATATACTGTGCCTTATGTAGTTTCAACCAAATGTAAGAACTGACTACATGGACAAAGGTTAATGAAATTAACAGTCAAAGCTGTTATAGGTTTGTTAACACCTACTACTCCAATTAGGATATATGTATATTTTAATACGGTGTTATGAATCAACTAATTTCATAAATACCTTTATATAAATAGTAATGAACTATATATCAATATATATACGTAGTCATGCTATATTCACACACTAAGTCATGTTATTAATTTCATGATATAGCATCCAATTTTTAGATACACGTCTCAGAATAAATTCAAATAATTTTTTCTGTGTGATCATGTCTTTACAGCTGTACAATGATATAACAATGAGAAAATAATTAAAAAAAAGAGTAGATAGCATTGTGTAATTCAGTGTTGAAAAAATAATGTGGATTTCTTAAATTTAGAACTTAAAACACAGTTCAACACATATGAAGATAGCATTCATTTGTAAAAACTGTTTAGAAAACTTACTTCTGTTATAGCTATTCTAACAAGTTCTCTGATTGTATCTCAGATGGAGTTTCTGTGTTTTTATCACCTACTTGTAGCTGTGACATCAAATCATCATTACATGTGTATTCATAGATACTTTCATCATCCAAACAGTCAAGACTTCCAATATTTCTATATGAAACGTATTGTGGTTGTAACATTTGCTTTTGATCTTGCTCTGAATAAACCACAAAAGTTGAAATCACTGACTCTTCACTATCACTTTCTTCCTCCTTTAATTAAAAAAAAGTATATATTAGTCTGTGGACATAAATCTCAAATGATCAGATAACAATTAACATATTAGAATCATTATTTAAAACAGCTTTCCAGGGTATTGTTGTTGAATAAACATTGTGGCCAAATAGTTTTACAATGTTGTATATTTCATCATGTTAACAGAATTGTTGTTAACACGCCAGCAACTAATTAGGATTTCCTTAACAGATTAATCAATAAGTTAACCAGGTGTAAAATTGGATAGATATTTGGCAACAGCTTCATATGACAAACTCTAGAATAAGAATTAGTTCAGTTTAAAGTTGAGTGTATATATTAAACAAGAACATATTTATAAATATGTTACCTGAACAAAGATTTTTAAAAATATGCATGAATAAAGATATATTCATATTCTATGTTATAGGGTTGATTATATGTGATATCTGCATAGAATACATCCCTACCTTTATTTTAGACCGTGCTTAATTTTACCCCTAGATCCAAATTTAAAAATGCACCCCAGACTGACATAGCAGAATCATAAACTCAAATACAGATGACATCAGATGTCATAACAACCATGAGACACACATAAATCTTTAGCATATATTAAATGCATGAATGTAAGAAAGAAACCTTTTCATATAAAGCATATAAAAGCCAAAATACATGTAAAAAGAACTTTTAACAAATCCTTACTTTCAGAAATTATTCAATGAACTTTCAAACTTCCACATATACAAATGGAATACTTTATAAAAAAGAACATTCAAATTTCTAGTGTTAGCATATATGCATATATATATAAAAGAAAATAATGACAATAGCATTGATATTACTCTTGACTGTAACCCTTCTTTACCATTATAATCTACTGCAGATGCTAGAACTCCCCCAAATTAACTTTATATATCATAAATATGTTTATCTATTTTAACTTTTCCATATTATATTTGAGCCATTTTTGACACTTCCTTATGTCATATATATGTGTGCACACAAATATTCCATGTATTTTTACCTTTACATACTATAATCAGACAAAAGTCATCCTATTCGCTTATAGAAATGTGCACTGAGAACAGGACTTGGAACTGTACTTTTAATTAGCTTTCACCTTTCATATTTCTAAACTGTTTTGCAAAAATCTTGAATACAGATAGTTAACTAGATTAATAAATATTTCTTTTTTTCTTACACATTGTGCAGTTACTTATAGCAGGGACCAGAAGGAGTTATAGTGAAGAAGACGGACACTGAAGACTTCTCATCATCAGCAAACATCTTTCTGAGCAAGGATATGTCCTACTTAAGGCTCTTTTCTATACTTTCAGTTTGTCTCTAAAATGGACACGTTTTCTGGTGGTGTTCAATTCATATTTAGATCATTGCTTGCTTTCCTGTACTTTTGTTAAGATTTAGTATATTTTGTGGACTGAAGTTAGTAACTATACTTTATCTTGCTTATTCCTTCTCTGATAGGTAAGACAGAATAGGGATAGGTGGTCTGGTAAATAAAGCTGGTAGATGACTTGTTTGTTCCTTCTCTGACAGGTAAGACAGAATAGGGATAGGTGGGCTGGTAAACAAAGCTGGTAGATGACTTGCAAAAAGTTCATAGCCAGCTGGAAGCATTTACTGTTGCATTTGTTGGAGGTGATGTAGAAATTGAAACTGATGCCTGGGTTTGAGGATGTTATAGTTCAATCGAAGATGTGTGTGGGCCTTGCCTTTATATTTTTGTTTTTCTGCACATGGTTCTAGTGGAAAAATAATAATTTCAGCCAATTCTGTTTCCTTTCCTGGGACTTTTTAAATTGTGGGTGCCAATGGGAAATAGTGTTGGATAGCAGGCAGAATTTTCTCCACTGGTCAATTATAAGAGCTGGAATTATATTACATCCATGTCCCATAAGTTGGACCACTTTTTTAGTAGCAAGATTTTCTGAAATTGATAGAGTAAACTTTCTTTCATTAGATAAGTTAAAATTAATTTCCATTACAGCAACACACAATTCGAAGAACAAGGTGGGCAAATTGGCCAAAAAATATTCTTACATAGCACAAGTTGGGATTGAGAAGCTGAGCCAACTTGGTTCTGATAAATCTGAAGTTCAACTAGATTTATAAGCTTGGATGACATAACCTTGATGGGTAGAGCTGATTATTTCATGAAAGAGTTATGGTTAAGATCTATTTGTTTATTTGTTAAATTTCATGCAAAGCTACTCAAGGACTATCTGAGCTAGCTTTCCTTAATTTAGAAGTGAAAGACTAGAGGGAAGGCAGCTAGTTAACACTACTAACTCTTGAGCTGTTCTTTACCATTAAAAAGTGGGACTGACTATCACATTATAACATCCCCAAGGCTGAAAAGGTGAGCATGTTTGGTGACAGGTTTCAAACCCTCAACAAACAGGTTGCAAGATGAGCACCCCAACCACCAGGCCTTATGGTTAGGAAGTAAAGTAATAAAATAAATGTAAATGAATATCACTTTTTTATTAGTGATACATGATTATACCCTATTGCAAAATGTGTAGCTGTCCTAGAACCTTAGATGTGCCAATCTATTCAGGTATTTTAAAGTCAATACAATAAGATTATCATGCATATTCTAGGCTAGGCTGTTGCTTGTGTTAAAGCGATTCACAATGACCAGTTGGCTATCATTCTCGGGGGACTTTCACAGCACTGTCTATGTGCCATGGCAGAACCCTGTAACTAAAAGTAATATTTCCCTCCCTTGGCAATGAAAATGTGTGTATTGTGTGAAGTCATGAATTTCACCCTTCCATAACTAAATATACCCAAAACAAGTTATATCTTAATATAGGATATAATTTGATTTGGGTATATTCAGGTAATATTTTTATACATTTCCATGCAATTTCTGCATGTAGTTAACCATATTTGTGTCGACTGGATTTCTCAAGGTTGTAAACATGTGTAAATCATTTCACAGTGATAGAGGCTACATGCTGTAACTATTGTTCTTAATTCTGTGTTCCTGTATGGTAATATAGAAACCTGTACACCTGGAATTGGCCAAATTTTGTGCATAAACCACTGGTTTAAGTATGTAATCTGTAGACTTGATTTTATTATTTTTACAGGAATATTTAAATTTCAGTAGTTTGGTCTGTTGATTTTACTTTTGATTCCTCTTGATCTTTCTTGGTTTTTGTCTCTTGCTTTGTAGCAATCATACCCATACAAAAGACAGAAGAAAAAACCCAGTCAGTTTTTGGTAACTGAACAGGATGTTTGTTAAACACATAATTTTCATGTTTATAACTATACTTGCATTTACTTGTTTTCCTTTATTGTCTAAGTTAAATTTATTCTTCACTTAATATGCTTGAACTTGTACCTTGTGGAAACTTTTGGCTTTTTTGCTGGACACCAATGTAACTGAAGCTATTCACTATTTCTGGAATTACCTTCCTATGCCAGGTGATTAATTTGAACAGACTTAAATCACAATACTAACTAACTTTGTGTTGTAACAAGAACACCACAGCTTAAAGGTAATTATGCAATTCATACCCAGATTACTCGTGTCTAAAGCTCTGGACAGTCCACATTGAATTTTGGTAGAAACTGTTACTTGTGTATAAAACATTATGAAACTTTCTGCAAAAACTGTCAACTTGAAAATGTGTGAAACCATGCAAATAAAACTGATCACATTCTATTGCAGTAGAGAAACTAATGCCTATACTATTAGTATCTTTATCTAGTAAGGTAAAATCTTTGTCATAAGTACATTTCCATTTTACCATGTACATTTGCCTACTTATGAATATTTCATTTTTATTAAACTGAACTAATCCTTTAGCAATATAAATGAGAAGGAAGAGTTCCACTTAATTTTTATATGAAATATTGTAAGTTAAAACAGTGGCTCTAACTTATCAATGAGGTACAAACAGCAGTTTCACACTTTGATATCTAGACACACAGTCATCTTGTGACTGTGCCTTATATATATATAGACACACACACACACACACACACATATACACACAAAATTGACTGTTGAGAGATTCAAAACACTAATTACAAGCATGCAGAAAATGTTGTGAAATGATACATTGGTATGAATATTATTAGGGCTGTATAAACTTGTATGGAAATTGAGAAAGTCAAATGGCAACTAAACAATTTGTTTGAATTGTGGGGAGTAAAATAAGACACTTGGAACAATATTTCACAATCATAGATTGATAAACTTATGACAGCATAAAACATCCAAGCAAAAAATACTAGTGTGCTGTACCACTTAGATAATTTTTTTTGTTTTACTTTCTGTCATAATGTACTGTCTAATGATAAACAGAATACAATGACAACCACTGAATTCATAGTTAGTAACCTATGTGATACCTAAGTCTAATTACTAATTAATTACCATTTGTTTTTATTAGAGAAGTCTTGAGAATGACTCTTTGTGGTGGAAGGAGCAGAGATTTGATTATGGGCCTTCTTTTTAAAAGAGCAAGTATATTATCAAGTTCACAAGCAAACACTGGGTAGTAAATAAAACTTGAAGATGGCTTAAATGGGTAATGAAGAAAACTTTATTACAAGTTTGACGCAGTAGCAAATGTACACCATTTTGACAAGGTTTTGTCATCATCAGGTACAAGTACTTTATAGAGACACAGGAATATATATATATATGTATATATATATATATACTATGGAACAAGCATCCCAGTCAAAAACTAGACTGAATAGATACAGAAATCTGTTGAGTTTTTCTTTCATAATAGGAATGACAAGCAGGTCTGTTTACTCTGCTACCATTAAACTATTGTAGCAAATGCAGAGAGAGTCCTGGAACTGATCTTTCTCTGTCAGACACCTGCTGAGACACCAATGTAAACAAAGGCATCAACTCTCCTCAGTACTTGAAGGTTCCAAGTGCTTGTGGTTCTTGTTACATTGATTTAAAGAATGATGTATTGCTGTAGTGAAAATGTCAACAGACAGCTCAGCTGACCTCTGAATTCAATAACCTTCCACTCCTTTTGGGAGATCTCATAACTGTACCAAAAGCCCTCAGTCTCTTGCTAAGATGCCCATCATCTCATGAAGTAGCTACAACTAGTACACTATTCTTCAGTGGTATCTCTAAACTTCCAGCCACCAGGAACAACTATTGATGAGGTTTGGTTTGGTTATGCTAGTTGACTGTCACCTAGGGTACAATAGAGATATTTAAATTTAATCTCAGAACAAAGAGGTCCAATTTCATCATAGTGAGTCTCAGTCACCAGTTATTTTTGTTTCCTGAACACAAAGCCAGAGGAGTGAATCTTGACAGCAGTTAAAGTGATTGTAAGCTGTAATAAACTTCTTGCCTTAATGGGCAGAAAATGAATTCTTGATTCTGATAGAATTCAGGAGAGTACTCCAAATCCAGGAGAAGACTTTTCCTGAGCCTCTGCAATTCTTCAGAGTATGGCCCCCCTATCCAATAACCATCTCCTCCATTCTAACATTATTCCTTTTATGTGGAAATTATTTTTCTTTGTTATTAAATATCAAAACACAAGGTTAATAAGAGTATACAGGAATATAGAAAACAGCACAGCAAACTTAAACCCCACAGTAACAAATCATGATCTTAGCACCAAAAGTACTCTTAATATCATAGTCTGTAGTATTTTCAGGTAGAGATGAACTTAAAAAATAAGTTATCAAATTACAATAACAGGAAATTCATTATGAAGTTTTATGCTGATTTATAATAAAGTATGATCTGACCTAGGAATCGAGAAACTTAACAAAATTATTCCACAAATAAATATTACTTGATTATTGATAACCACTAACTAAAACATTTTATATTTCTAAATATACAATAAAATATGCATTTATATGTGTATAGCTTTAAAATAATTAGACATTTTTTAAATCAAAGATTCTGTTTGTTTGTAATTAAGCACAAAGCTACACAATGGGTTATCTGTGCTCTGCCCACCACGGGTATCAAAAACCCGGATTTTAGCGTTATAAGTCCGCAGACATACCGCTGTGCCACTGGGGGGCAAATCAAAGAGAATTAATAAAATATTATACAAAATAATAATCATTAAAATCCTTATTGTGTAAATAACATAGTCAATAAATGAGAAGCTTTTTTAATTTGGTGAAAGTAATAACATGTAGCTAAGTTTCTCGTGTGTTTTATTTGGAACCTTTACCTTATTATTTATATAAATAATATTGATGGCAATATGAATTGTAAGTTATCTACTTTCGTAATTACATTATATGCTAGAAAAACCTAATATTGGGGAAAATACTATCTTAACTAAGAAAAAATTCAATAAGCTTAGTGATTAGTGAAGAAACAGTAAAATATAGTTTAAAGTTATGTAAGAAGAATATTGATTATAAACATAAATTTGTTGTTTGAGAAGAATGAATGTTAGTTAAATAGAACAGGAAAATAAATTGAGAACCTTCTATTGAATAAAGTAAGAAAGTTTTGACATGTTGAATTTTATCCATCAATATAATTGAAGACTACGAAAATTACATTTGCATTAAGCAAGTCTCAGATTAGATCTGTTTGAAGTACTGAATTCAGGTTTGTCAGTGTTGTCAGATTTTATAGGAGCCAGATTCTTTACAGTAGGTGTCTGTGACTTGTTGGCAATAAATTTGAACAATAAACAGACAGCTCATAATCCACGTGTTTGAAATTACTATATTCAAAACAAGTCAAACATATAAACAAAATTTTGTTACACTAATGTTTGTCAGAATCACAGTTATATCTGAAACTCTAAATAATTATTCTTTCTCGTCAAAAGTTCACACAGGCAAGTTCAGTTACTTTAGAACCCAACTGACAAGATGAATTATTATTCTCTCTTTCTCATCATACAATCTGTGATAAATTATCTTATATTACCTTGCGAGTTACCACAGTTGTATCC